TGCCCACAACCGTGCTTATACAGCCATACAGCCCAGAAAAAGAGGTATTGCTGTGACTCTAAGCCACACTTTAATACCAAAATAATTATTTAGCAATATATTGTAACTGAGCCAGATATCTGACAATTTTCTGAGTTTTAGGTTAAAAGGCACCATTTTAAGAACTTTCGTCTGCCAGTTAAAAGTGAAGCATTTTGAACCGATTTGGAGTTAATTATTTGATAAAACTCATTAAAGTTTTAAAATGGCGATTTTAGATTGTTGATTTTGTTGATTTGAATATTTTTCCTACCACATTAGGATCATTATATGGAGTTGAAAATTCTTCTTTTTTAAGTGCCGTCTCCCAATCGGAGGTTGGATATCATCATCACTATCTTTTCTTTATCTACTGCTGCTCTAAAGAATTCTATAGAACTTCATTTAAACCAGTCCCTTAAATTCTTCAACCATAACACTCTCCTTCCTATACTCTTTCCTCCTCTTATCTTCCCTGTATTAGCCTTAGCAGTTCATATCGCTGTCCTTTCATCACGTGTCCCAGATATTGTAACTTTCTTATTTTTAAACTTTGAAAATAAGGCTATTATCGAGCACAAGTTAATTAAATCTAGCCCAAGTACCAAGACAGATCAACTATGCTCAAATTCTGTCTTGATCAAGACTTCTTCCAATTTAACCAAAAAATATACAAACAACCTACAGGTTTAGCAATGGGTTCTCCATTATCACCTTTTTAGCTGATATTTTTTTGGACAGCTTAGAACAGAAATTTGTTAACAACAACAACAAAATAATTTTTTGGTCAAGGTACGTTGATGATTGTATAGCTCTGATACAAGGATCCCAAGATGATGCTTTACAGATTGTGGAAGATCTTAATAACCTTCATCCCAACATCTCTTTTACTTTGGAACCAGAATCTGACAATAAGTTGAACTTCTTGGACATGACTATATCTCGCAATAAAGATTCTCTTGAGTACAATATTTACAGAAAGCCCACCCAAACAGATCATGTTATACATGAGACATCCAACCATCCAACCCAACATAAAATGGCTGCTTTCAATAGTTATATTCACAGATTACTTAAATTTCCACTTTCAAATGATAACTTTAATGTAGAACTCAACACTCTCAAACAAATTGCTTTAAATAATGGTTATGATCCCAACATTATCCATAAGCTTCTAAATAGAGCTAAACTCAAAATTACAGAAAAGCTTGCATATTCATCACAAAGTCTTCTCCTACAAAATGCTTCTAACAATATCAGATATTTCTCTTTTACTTATATTAGTAACATTTCTAATAAAATAGCCAAACTTTTTACTTCTACAGTTGAAAACATCAAAATTTCCTTTACGTCACACAACACTGTAGGTTCCTTTTTAATTAACACCAAAGACAGGCTGAACACACTTGACAAAAGTGGTATTTACAAATTAAAGTGTGATGATTGTGATGCCTCTTATGTAGGCAGAACCATTAGAAAGCTATCTACTAGAATATCAGAACATTTAAAAAGACCAAACTCTTCAAGTTTTGGTCAACATTTAGAGTCTACCAAACACAATTTCAACATCAATACTGGGTCGTCTATTTTGCATGACATCAGTAGAAAGAAAAACTATTTGGAGTTGGATCTATTGGAAGATTTGGAGATCACAAAGGAAACGAATGGAAACTCTCATTGTCTTAATACTCAAATTAATTTAAACTGTACTAAATTTAAACCTATTTTTAAAAACTTTATTACAGCTTCACCTCGTAGTGGACCCAGCTCGGCTGTCTAGACTTCCTGCACTGAGTCTATACATTAAGAATCTACCAATTTCAAGCTCTGTTCAGCATTACTATTGTATTTAACAATTTACACAACTAGCTTGCTCAGATTCAATTGATCCACAGTAGGAGTTGATTTCACTCTTCATATCTCTGCATAATCTACATATACTAATTCCACAGTTTTATATTTCAACACCTGTTGGTCGGTTGGTCTTTAGTAATGCTATTACATATTAGTTTTATAGTTCCCCCATTGGCTTGAGGTTTAACTGAACTACTTGAACTATACACATTTACACACTGCTTTCAATTCTGATATAATTTTAATATTTCAATTTCATAGTCAATTTTCTTCTCATTTTGCAATATTGACAGTGCCTGGTAGACCATTTTATTGTAGTCAACTACCCACTGTCCAATAGATCGTTTGGTCTATTTCTTTCATTCACACTTTATGTACACTTCATTTAGCCTCAAACCTACAACCTTATTATTACAGACATTTGTGAGTGTGAGATCTGGATTATGCAATCTAGTTTAAATCAAAATATTCTAAATGTCATACGTCATCAGCTGATTTTTCAGTAGTAGTTCTAGTTGGACCTTTGGCCAATGGCAACTTATACAGAATTTTAATATTTGCTGATCACAGATCCATAACTTTGACTGCCTATCAAAGTTGTCATATGTCATATGTCACCGTATCATTTCCGCTTAGATCATTATCCATCCAGATACTAACAGAGAATGTAGCGTAGAAGTAATTTTAAACTGTTTGTCCTCGTTTTAGTGTAGTGTTTTGTATAATTTATGTTATTTTTAATATTTCCACAATCTACGCTTGCCGGATAGTTCTTATTTTGACGAAGTAAGTCTAAAACGTTCATCTCAAAAACCTTTTTTTCATCCATTAACTTCGAGTTTTTTATCGAAGTTAACTAATGTACTTCATCTAAAAAACGTTTTCTTGGCTTATTTCAGATGCCCCTGAAGATGCTATTTTAAGCGAAAGTACTTGGGCTAGATTTAATTAACTTGTGCTCGATAATAGCCTTATTTTCAAAGTTCATTTATTCGAGCATTCAACCTCATTTCATTCATTTCTTATTTTTATTATGTTTATTATTTTGCATTCTTTGCCCATTTCTCGCAATACTTCCGTGTTAGTTTTCTTCTGTGTCCATGCTATTCTAAGTATTTTCCTATAACATCACATTTCAAAAGACTATAACTTATTTATGTGTTCTTTCTTCAATGTCCAGCTTTTAAGTCCATATTACGGTATCGAAAACACGTATCTCAATGCTCTTACTCTCAGTTCTAATCTAAGATCTTTGTTGCAGAGAATTGTTTTCATTTTTACAAACGCATTTATTTCGGTTGTTTGATCATTATTGTCTAAAATCCAGATTCCTAGGTATTTGTATTTATTAACCCTTTCTATCGGTACATTTCCCAAATGTATGTTTGTTGGTATATTTGTTTTCTTTGTTATTATCATGTATTTGGTCTTTTTTATATTTATTTTTAGTCCATATTTTTCACAGAAACTGTTTGTTTTGTTTAGCAGTAATTGGAGTTGTTCAGCAGAGCTTGCCATAATCACGGTGTCATTTGCATATCTTATGTTGTTAATAGATCTTCCGTTAATTATTATATATAATATAGATATAATACATCCCTGCCTAACTCCTCTCCTGATTTCAATTTCTGGACTGAGTTCGTTATCTATTACGATTTGAGCTTTTTGATTCCATTAAAAGCAAATAACGCTTTTCTGATTCCTAGTCCGTTTCTGAACCAAAACTGAATATCATCTATTCCTTCTTCCAGGTTTTTTATTTATACGACCATGTACTATTTTCAGGAATAATTTGAGAATGTGACTTATTAGTGATATTGTTCTGTATTCACTGCAATATTAAGCGTTTGTATTTTTAGGGATAGCACAAAAGGTGGAGAGTAACTATTGTTTCGGTATGTGTCCTGTTTTCTATACTGAGTTAAATAAGTCACTATAATATAAGGCTAAGGTTTCATTATTCATGCATTTTAAGATTTCTATAGGGATTTCGTCTGGACCTAATGCTTTACCATTTTTGCTGTTTTTTTGGTTGTAAATTGGAGACAGAAATTACGGGGCTAGAGATAGGGTAAGCAAAACAAACCGAAACGTTTGCGAACGGCTACTCAGGGTTTGTTTGGGGAGCTAGGTCGTATATAAGTGGATGACAAGGGGACTGGACTGGGGTAACTACAAAAATTAATCAAAAAAGGTACTTACATGGGTCTCTTGGATAAACACAACCCAAGAAGGATCTTAAGCTCTTTGAAGTAAGGACGCCGCTTACAAGAATCATCTTGCTGGATGGAAAGATAGGCTTTTCTTTCCTAAAAAATATAAAAAAGGGTTAGAAACCTTTTTAAAGAAAATAATACTCTTTTTTAGAAAAAAACTTACATATTTATTGTCTCACCACAAACAGCTACAAATATAAATAGTAATACAAAAATAACAAAAAAACAAACTTACAATGTTGTATCAGTTTACAACTCTAGAAGTTGGAGATATTATAAAAACTAGGATGGGCCGAAAAAATATTTTTTTATCCGATCGAAATGGGGTAGGTTTTAAAAGTTGCATTTGGGGTCCTAAAAGAAAACTGCAAAATATTTTTGCTGGAAAAAAAATATCTTCAGTCTGCGCATTTGACTTAAAATTTCAGTTTTTTTGGTAAAAAGTAACTTTTTGGAAATAATTTTGTGCACATTAAGAAATAAGATAGAATGACCGGGTAGTGTTATATATGTTTTTTAACACTAATAGAATAACCCCAAACAGTTTCATTTGTCTTATGCAACATCTTCAGTGTGCGCAAAAATCACCAATTTACGAGATTTTAAGGTTAAGTAAAATATTTTGATACCACTTACGTTTTCTAATATTTGATACTCGTTTTGAAAAGTCTACAGTCAGCTTTTTTCTGTACATTTATCGAGGAAAATATATTATATATATATATATATATATATATATATATATATATATATATATATATATATATACATATACCGTTCATCATCATTTATGCAACTCTTCGCTAGTTCATAATGAACTACCCAGAACTCACAACGAGGAGGTGGTTGCATGTCGAGTTCCACCCGTGCCCTCCCTTCCACCCAACTATGAGAGCACATTGTTCTTTTTGCTTAGGCTTTGAACTCTGTCTTAGAGTCAAACTTAGGCCGTATTGCTCTGTCAAATAGTCTAGTTCTGATTATTTCATCCCTTTTCTTTCCATCGCACACTTTTAGTGCTGATCGTTTGACTTCTTTTACTGCTCTTTCGACAGCTTGAGTATGTGTCGGTAATTTTCCCAGCACACCTTCTGCAAGGATATCTGACAGGCCGTCAATCAATAGTCTGTTGAGGTCCTCTTCTGATAGATGCATGGTAACAGGGGGCTCAGTTACATCCATAAACTACCATTCGATTAAATCTACGTATTCTTTGGCAGAAAAATTTATTTTTAGGAATTTTAAAAAGTCTAGCTCTTTCTCTGTCATTTTTTCTTCTGGCTTTTAATATTCGTTTGATCGCAAGTTGACCTGCCATCGGAGAGCATTGCCAGAAGCATATTTTCGGGGTGTGCGAAGTATGCATTATTTTGAATGCACTTATGAATCACTTTCTTTTGTTCGTGTGACATATATAACGAAAAGTCCAGCATTTTCCAAAGGTTGCTTGCACTATCCTTTAGTTTGTGATTGCATTTGATAATGAACCAGCTTGGAGCATAAACTAAGGCAACATATTTGGTCAAATCTTTCAACTGATATGATGGTGAACTAGATGCAATGTACAATCAGAGTACACGATTGGCAGTTGTCACCCACCGTGCATGATTCAACTTGCCAGGACTTCTATCCCCAAATCCTGATAGTAATTCTCCTTTAGTAACTATTTTGCATATGTCGTATAAATATTTCTGATCAATACTCAAATCTACGTTGTTTAAATCTGGAAAAAGCATTTCAACTGGGTCATTATCGGTTCAAACTTAGTTGGAATTTGTTTATGGCAGTCAGCTAACGCTTTGCCAATTGAACCACTAATGAGAACCAGATGTTTGACCATCTGAAAATTCAAAAAGATGTCTCAGTGGAAGTTCATTAGTGTGTAACTGACACACCATCCATTCTAAAGGTTTGTCTAGTTTAGTTTCCAGTATTCTTATAACATCATTACTTTTGCCTTTGTTAGTTGGACATCCATCACATCCAACACAAACCAGTTCCTACAAACTAATTTGTTTATCTGACATAAACTGCATGATTGCATTAGCTATGTCCACAACTTTCCCTGATAATGGTTTGACGTTCCCTACATATTTTGTTCCTGGCTCTTGAATAATAGATAAATGATCTTCTTTATGGACACTATGAAGTTTTTTCTCGTCTTCACTAGTTTCAATGAAATAGGTCTTGTCAATTATTGTTCATCTAAATCTTTGCTTAAAATTATTTCCTTACGAATCTTTACTCCTTCCCGCCTGACTTTATTTTTGTCAAAAACTGGGCTACTTTGAGACGTCTCTTTTATTCCCATATCTTTCAACAAAGCGATGCTAAAGCCGCTGCAGGCTTATCTGGTATCCCATATCTGTCGCACGATCTAGCAAAAGTACCTGTATTATTTCTGGTTTGCTTTGTTTCTGCAGTATTATTTTGAGAAGGGATTTGTAGCAAAACGGTTTCGTCTGTATCGTAACGGAAGTCTAAGTTGTCGTCAACTTCTTTCTTTTCCTTTTCTTCCTTTTCCTGTCTCTTCATGGTTTCTTTCTCTTTTCTTATAATTCGTTTTTTATTTTGTGTCGTACTTTTTAGGTCTATATTACCAATCATCATTTAGCGTACTGTACTTTGGTCTATTAAAAACTCGCGCTCCATTTCCAGGGACCTTTTTTACTCGAACGCAACTACAAGAGTTTAAGTCACTACATTTACAAGTGCACAACATCAAATAACTTGTCAGACTTTTCCAAAAACAACTTGCTAAGATGAGAAGATAATGTTTGCTTATGTTGATCCCTTTCGAAAGATTTATTTAGAGCTTTCATTTCATCTAAGCTTCTTTTCAATATATCTCTCATAGTTTTGTAAGATATCATAGGGATTGAAGCTTTACGCCAGATCAATTGAACTGTATCCAACGTTTCTTCAGCTACGCGAGAGAATTCTGGATTTTTACCGTTTTCCTTAAGTTGAAGATCGTGCCACACATAGTAATAGTATCTCACAACTGCAATTATGGTCGGTACCATTGTATTACTAAATTGTTTGTCACTCCCTATAATTCGATTGTCACGATTCTCCTTAACGCCATCCATCGACTAGTCCTTAACTAATCCTAGCACTTAAAAATAATTACTTTGTTTTAAGTTAAAACAGAACTACACTCGCACAATGCACTGTAAATACAGACACAACCTTTCCGCAACACAAATGTTGTATGACTACTGTGAACTCAGTGAACTGCGAAATATGGCGATGCCGACAGCGGCCGACAGGTCTCGACTTGACGGTACAGGTCTCAACTTGTCTGCTTAGGTGGAAAGGGCTAGGGGGCACTAAGCGCACTGCCTTGACAACCGCTATCTGATTTCAATTCTATATTGTTTTAATGTAATTTACCTAACTTAAACGCAACTATTTTTGATCTTTCAAATATATCTACACTAATCCCTTTAAAAAGGCGACCGGTATAAATATTAAGTTTTCACACAAAATGGTGGTACTTGCGCACACTGAAGATGTTGCATAAGACAAATGAAACTGTTTGGGGTTATTCTATTAGTGTTAACCAACCCATATAACACTACCCGGTCATTCTATCTCTTTTTTTAATGTCTACAAAATTATTTCCAAAAAGTTACTTTTAAAAAAAAAAACTGAAATTTTAAGTCAAATGCGCAGACTGAAGATATTTTTTTTCAGCAAAAATATTTTGCAGTTTTCTTTTAGGACCCCAAATGCAACTTTTAAAACCTACCCAGTTTCGATCGGATGAAAATTTTTTCGGCCCACCCTAATCAGAACTTAATAATTGTTAATGGGCGACATTTTGTAGTAGAAATAAATTAATACAAATGAAAAATATCTTTTTCAATAAAACTATGCATATATGTTTACCTTTTTTTTTAAACAAAACAAAAATAAAACAAGATCTAAATTATGATTAGGTATGTGTCAATTGTCAAGAAAGCTGTCAGATGTCAATATTAAATTTTAAAACTTTGAGAATAATTAATTTGGCAGCTAGGCCACACCCTAACATTTATGATTTCACTTATTACAATTTTTCAACTTATCATGAAAGCAATTATTAATAAAAATGTCTGTTTTTACTTTAAAAGTTCAACAAAAAAAGCTGCTTAAATTTCACTAAATGTTATTTTTTTTTCTTTAAAATTTCTGGGGTTGGAATTGGACTTGGAATTCACAAGAAACACAAACAACTGCGAAAATCATCTGGAATGACAACCAGGGACAAACAAAATGAGGATGGAAGCTGGGCACTGGGACGCAATATTTGAAACTTGACTTCTTAAAAACTCAAACGCAATGGAACCATGTGGGTATCCTTCTAAGTTGTTGGAAACGCCGTTTTACAAATCTCTCAGATGAGAGATGGCACGAAACAAAACAGTGACTACTGTTGCAAAAACTGACACATTATATACGAGTATAATTAACTTTTTTTACAAAAAATTTGCCGGCTTCTCCAGACTACCCAAGCCGCGCAAGACAAACACAAAGCAAAACAAATTACGGATAAGAATGTTCAGGGAATAACTAGTTCCAAAAATGTTAGATATAGAGGAAAAACAAACCTATAACGAAGATAGGACATGGCATTGTCCAAAGTTAATATAACTAATGGCAAAACATTTTTCGTGCCTGGAAGTCTTTGTAATTTTAACTGGCAAATGTAGCCTTATTTAACTTGGCGTCCTATGGCATTTCTTAAAAAAGATACGTGACAGGCAATGTGTTAAACAATTTTCGGAAAAAATTGAATAACTATCGTTAGAACTATTTTTATTGGAAAACATAGGAAAACAACATCCCAAAGATGCTTTAGTTTTGTTATATGTAAATAAATTTAGGTATTTATACTTCAGTCGTCAGAGACGAAAATGTAACTAAACTTTTAAAAATCATAGGAAGACGCTGAATGTTCTTGAGAATGTTATTTTTGGAACCCCAAAAATATGCAAAAACCTTTACTACTCCTACCCTCTGGCTTTCCCCTAAAACCACCCTCGTCGTAGAAAAAGAAAAATAAAGATTTACCAAGAATCTGTACGTCGCACAGTGGGGCAAGAGACAACATAAGTTGGCATTAAATCATTGTCAATATATTATAGCCAAATTTAAAAAAATGTTGTTAGTGGTGTATACATATACAAAAACGATCTTTTTTCAAATGTTTTCTTCTTCTTCTTTCTGTGCCTATCAGTGATGAGTGTTGTCGGTCATCATGTCAATCTTTATTTTATCTACAGCAGCGCGGAAAGGCGGCACAGATGTTGTGTTGACGCAGGTTTTCAGGTTATTTAACCAGGATGTTCTTCTTCATTTTGGACCTCTATTTCAATATTTTTCATTGAAATATGGCTTATTCAAATGTTTTGCTCAAACTTAACTTTCAAAGCTGCATGTACCTGGTTATTACTGATATTGATTTAAATAATATCTGAAGTTTAACAAATTTCATTCTAATTAATTCTATACTCTAATGTACATACTTGTTTTTATGTATATTTGTTAAGATTCATATCTCAAATCAACTGTTTAACATTGTTTTAGAAAAATTACCCAACTAAATTGTTCTTTAAAAGCATATACCGCACATATTTATATAGAAACAACATAGCATTTTGTATGTAATATATTAAAAAACTTAAACTATAGATACGGCCAGCATATCAACACCAGGGAGAATCAGTCAGGGAGACAACCTCAGCCCATTTCTATTCAATATGCTAATGGATGAAATAATAGAATATGTGGAATCTCTACAACTAGGATACGGATTCGGTCACAGTAGAATCGGTATAGTGTGCTATGTGGATGGTGCAGTCCTGATTGCAGAGGATGAGGATGGCCTAAAAAGGAAACTTTATTGATTCTATCAAGCATGTCGACGACTCAACATGAAAATATCCACGCAGACAACAAAATGCATTACCACTGTGAACTACCCAAGTAGATGAAAGCTCGTGGTAGAGGGGAAACCTATAGAACAGCTAAACCAGTTTAAATATCTAGGTTTAGACTATCAAGTTATCATGACCCAGCCAGAGACAAATAAACAAGGCCGAAGTCATGTCCGGATGTTTGAGAGATGTGGTTTGGAATAATCCATATATGTATGAGAATGGATAGCAAAGTTATAATTTATAAAACTTGCATCA